TCTGATGGCAGAAAGTGAGGAGGAATTAAAGAACCTCGTAATGAGGGTGAAAGAGGAGAGTGCAAAAAAAAAACAAAAACGGTCTGAAGCTCAACATCAAAAAACCTAAGATCATGGCCACTGGTCCCATCACCTCCTGGCAAACAGAAGGGGAAGATATGGAGGCAGTGACAGATTTTACTTTCTTGGGCTCCATGATCACTGCAGCCACAAAATTAAATGACTCCTGCTTCTGGAGAGGAAAGCGATGACAAACCTTGACAGCATCTTAAAAAGCAGAGACATCACCTTGCCAACAAAAGTCCGCATAGTCAAAGCTATGGTTTTTCCTGTAGTGATGTATGGAAGTGAGAGCTGGACCATAAAGAAAGCAGACCGCCGAAGAATTGATGCCTTTGAATTGTGGTGCTGGAAGAGACTCTTGAGAGTCCTCTGGACTGCAAGGAGAACAAACCTATCAATTCTAAGGAAATCAAACTAGAGTGGTCACTGGAAGGACAGATCCTGAAGCTGAGGCTCCAATACTTTGGCCATTTCATGAGAAGACTCCCTGGAAAAGCCCCTGATGTTGGGAAAGTGTGAAGGCAAGAGGAGAAGGGGACGACAGAGGATGAGATGGTTGGACAGTGTCATCAAAACTACCAACATGAATTTGACCCAACTCCGGGAGGTAGTGGAAGACAAGAGGGCCTGGTGTGCTCTGGTCCATGGGGTCACGAAGAGTTGGACACGACTTAATGACTAAAAAAACAACAATTCAGATTGGAACTAAAGCAGAATTAGAAATGTATTGGCTTTTCAGGGAACAATACAGGTTACTATAAGAGAACACAGCTTCGCTGGGAAGACAAGCGAAACACTATCTTTTTAACATCGCAGACTAAATTCTAACCCATTTAACACTTGGCCAATTTAAGAAGCCAATTCAGTTGTGTTTGGCCGGATGTTTCCTGCTTTTGGGGACAAGCGTCAGTTTCGCTGCCAGATACAAATGGATGCTCCGATTGTGTGTAAGGCGGGTTCACACCGCGATGTCGAACTGCAGTCAAAAAGAGAAAGAACGGTGAGGCGGTTTCCACTGGGAGGCGGTGCACGTGTTGGTAGTGCAAGGCAAAGCCACGTGGGGGCGTATGTGTTGAAGTGTACACGGGTTGCCTTAGTGATTCTTTGGTGGCTGTTCATTGCCCTGTGGAAAATACTGCGTATTTATATTCTGAAACCCCATAGTTTCCCGCACACGAGAGTAGTCATGAAATCCTCTGCGTACTTTCCTTTAAATTAGATGAGAAACGGATGTTAAGAACCCTGCCCTCAAGTTCTCTCCCGGCACATTGCGGGCTCATTTCCCAGATCTTTTCAGCACTTTCTATAAATGATTATAAAGTCCCATTGTTAAGCCTGTCGGCTTCCTGGTCAGGATCTCTTTTGCAGGGCAACGGTTTCCTGGGGGGAACCATTTCTCTGTGACACAAAGGTTATTACTGTTTGGGACGCTGGAGGGTTTGACCCGCGTTGTGGGTGCAGGTTAGTAATCTTGGCTCTGGTTTGTGTTCTATGTGATGGCTTTCTTGCCTCTCCTTTGCAGGGATGACGAGAGAAGTGCGACAATTCAGTCCAACTCCCTTCCTCTCCTCCCGTTTGCCCTGTGTGCTTAAATAAGCGGCGCTAAAAGCTGCCAAACCTAGCTTTTGGGGCTTTATTAATGTGTGTTGTCTTCTTTCGTTATATCTTGCTTTAAGTTCTCTCGTTTTGCTTGGTGGTCTACCCCTTTGTATTAATCCCAGAATATAATAAATTTTACCTGCTTTCAAGTCGATTTCAATTTATGGTGATGGTTTCCAGAGTTTTCTAGGTGTAAAATAGTCAGAAATGATTTGCAATTTTCTTCTTATGGGGGGTGCTGTGCAGCCTGCTCAAGACTACATGGGCTGGCTTTTGTCCCTTGAGGCACAGAGGAGAATCAAGTTCTATAGTGAGATACTGCTGGCTCTATACTGAGATACTTCACCGAGCTACTGGCATTCCCCAAAAATAAGACAGGATCTTATATTAATTTTTGTTCCAAAAAACGCATTATGGCTTATTTTCAGGGGATGTTTTATATTTTTTCATGTACAACAATCTACATTTATTCAAATACAGTCATGTCATGTGCTTCTGGTTGCTGCACAGTGGTGGGGGAGGGCAGGGTTTCACTTAACTAGGTCTTATTTTAGGGGAAACGGTATTTAGCCAGCCCTATAATAAAAGGGACGTGGTGGCACTGCGGGCTAAACCGCAGAAGCCTGTGCTGCAGGGTCAGAAGACCAGCAGTCGTAGGATCGAATCCACGCAACGGAGTGAGCTCCTGTCGCTTTGTCCCAGCTCCTTGCCAACCTAGCAGTTTGAAAGCATGTAAATGCGAGTAGATAAATAGTACCACCTTGGTGGGAAGGTAAAATGGCACTCCCATTTTACGGGACACGTGACAACGGAAACTCTTCGGACAAGCGCTGGCTCTACGGCTTGAAAAACGGGATGAGCACCATCCCCTAGAGTCAGACATGACTGGACTAAAAATGTCAAGGGGAACCTTTACCTATAATAATTATGTAGCATTAAATAAATTCTTTTGAATTGTGGTGCTGGAGGAGACTCTTGAGAGTCCCCTGGACTGCAAGGAGAACAAACCTATCCATTCTGAAGGAAATCAACCCTGTGTGCTCACTGGAAGGACAGATCCTGAAGCTCAGACTCCAGTACTTTGGCCATCTCATGAGAAAACTCCCTGAAAAAGACCCTGATATTGGGAAAGTGTGAAGGCAGGAGGAGGAGGGGATGACACAACACAAGATGGCTGGAAAGTGTCATCAAAGCTACCAACATGAATTTGACCCAGCTCCGGGAGGCAGTGGAAGACAGGAGGGCCTGGCATGCTCTGGTCCATGGGGTCACGAAGAGTTGGACATGACTTAATGACTAAACAACAACAAAGTAAATTCTGATTCATAACAACCCATTTCAATGTTTTCTAGGTATATAGAGTACTCAGAAGTGGTTTACCATTCCCTTGTTTTGGGGGCACCATGAGATGATGCAACTCAGCCAAAGTTCCATAGCGTGTCTTACTCCTTGTATACACAGTCCCAACATCTACCTAACTAACTGATCTACTGTACTTAGCTAGTCCAATCCTACAATACAGTTTAACGATTAAGGAAATAATCTTTGCTGGTATGAGATGGTCTTGGTGTGTTTTAAGTGATGGCAAATGAGTACTGTACTTTTCTCATGTAGGAATTGTCAGATTTGCAGGGAATGGTATTCTACATATGTTCAGATGAATTGTTATGAAGATTAAACTTGGTTAAAGTTGAACTCTGTGTGCGTCTGTATAATATTCTTTTGTTATTTCTCACTCCTGGTGGACAATGTTTTTTGAAAAGTAAAGGATATTACAGAGTTTGAAGGCTGAAAAATCTTTAAGATTCAGATTTTTTGCTGTGGTCCTAGCTGTACCCTCCTGCAGTTGCTGAGATGGTAGTCCACGGATTGTATGGAAGGAAGGTAAAGAAACCAGTTCATACTCAGAGAAGGAATTCCAGTACATTGTGAAAGGTGAAAAGAAGAGGGTGACACTCTGGTGTGTCTAAACTGGAGAATGCTTTAGATCCAAAGGATTCAGAGGCCGACAATCATCTACTATGTTCTTGGCAATGCGGTTCAGGGGGAAGGACTGGTGGCATCTCCGGAAGAGGGATAAATTTTTTTTCTGTGTTGGATGGATCATGGACACATTTCTCTGTCTTAGAACACTTTGAATTTTCAGGTTAGATTGTCCTGTTAGTTACTTATTTTGGAGTAACTCTCACTGATCAAATTCTGTGGGACTTCGTTCCAGAAAACATTGTTTGCACTGAAAGTAGATTTATTATGTCACAATGCTTCCGAAACTGAGAGTTAAACAAGGCAATACACTTAGAACATGTATTTAGAAGTAATGAAATATGTCTGTTTATCTTAGCATGTGATTTCCTTCACTTCTGTACCTTGCACTTAGCATGTTGTGTAATTGGTCATTTCAAGAGAAGCACAGGCTTAATTGGCAAGTCTTATTGCTAAGACACGTAATTTTGAAGAAATCTGTGTTGGAAGGAAAGTGGATTAATTGGAGGGAGTAGGTGTTCCTCTTAACATCCAATTTTACCCTATATATCTTTGCTTTATGTTACAACTTTACATCCGCTTACTTGGGGAAATCCAGTTGAACTTTGATTTACTTCTAAGTAAACATACAGATGTTTGCATAGTTATTTATCTGAATGTGTTTGCTTTGCAGACTGTTCTTTGTGGTAAACTGAAATCAGATTGTGTGGAACGATCTGTGGAGACATGATAGGTCGAAGGTCCTATAGTGTGAGCCACTTGTTCAGTGGTTGAATGAAGTGGCTCTGGAGTCCCTTTATATTCTGTAGAGCTATGATGAACTGGGAATCGGGAAGAATAATAATGAGATAAGCAAAGCAGTCAGATATTTCTTATTTAAGAGAAGGAGGTATTTGGCAACCTTACTTTCCTTTGAATCAACATCTTTGATGTTTACTTGGAATCCCTTTGATACAGTAAAATCTACTTGGAACTAAGTGCAGATTGGATTATTTCCTAATCTGACACCTGTCTTCTTCTGTTCGGTCATGGTCTCTTAACATATTTTCCGTATTCGTTTTAAGGAAATTAGAGCTGATGCAAAAAAGAAACCCCTGATTTTTTTCAAGAATATTCTGAGTCTGCTACCCAAATGTCTCTCCTAAAACGTAATGTGTGAAGATTTGACGGTGAACTGTCAGTGTGCACAGAATTCTAATTGCTTTTAGGCAAAACGTTCTAATTTTAAATTTTATTGTCAACTTCTTAGCAACTCCTTTGCAGTTTAATCCATACATCACAGTGATTATTTCCAAATTTCTTTTACTATGAATGTACCTGCTGCTTTTAAACTACCACAGCTTTGGTTGTAAATCTGGGGTGGGTGTGGTTGATTGAAGCACCTGTCTATTTAAAATTTATGTTAAAAAACTGAGCAGATTACATCTCCTCACCTCCCATGCACAAGATTTATATCTGCCTTCTATTAAGGTTAGGTTGTTTGCTATTCATAACAGGAATTCATTAAACTATGCAAGAATAGAAATACAGTTTTCTAGGCTGGTGTAGCTTAGAGCTATTTTCTCACCCGAAGAGGATGGGGAATGCTTCAGTGTAGGCAAGAACAGGGAATACGTGCCCTACTGGATATTCTTGGACTGCAACACCCATCATCCTTCTCTATTGGTATCCTAACTACAGCAGATGGGAGTTGCAAGCAAAGAACATATGTTTCTCACCCTACTTAGATTAGTTTGCAAGATGGTCTTAGCAAGCAGTTGTCAAAGGTTGTATCTGATCAGATTTGGTGACCAAGCAAAAATAACTGATCTGAGTATCACTAGAAACTTCCAAGGGCTGTAGCACCACTGCCAATCATTCTGTGATCTGAAATGGCTTTGCATTTGTTGTGTTAGCACTTTGCATGTCTGCCTCATTCTACCCTTTTCTTTCTCTTCTTTCTTCTATAGTCTTCTGTGGGAAATGGAGAATGAGTTTTGCATGGGACTAATTATTAACAGTGTCAAAATTTTGCCTGGCTGGAATGTATAGTTACTAGGGAGGTGCCATTTGTTTTGGGGGGTTTTGTGTGTGAACTCCAATTCCTAGAATTCTCCAAGAATTCCTCAGGCAGAATTCTGGGAATTTTAGGCCACAGATGCAGAACTGTAGACACTTTTATTTTGCTCCCCTGCAAAAAGGCCTATTTCTCTATGGAATCCACACTTAGTTCCTCCACATGTTTTCATTTCCTGCTGCAGTGCCCCTTTGGGAGGAAGATGCTGCAATGCCTTGTCGGTGAGGTACTTCTTTGGGAAGTGGAAGCATCACAGTAGAGGCCTCCCAGGCAGTATTGTGGCAGGAAATGAAGGCCTGGAATGCTTACTGTAATGGTTACTAAATCAGGAATGGAGCTCATCTTCACATCTCATGGAAGTGCAATTCCCACAACGCTTCACTACTGAGTAGTCTGCTAGCTAAGGTTGGTGGGAGTTGCAGTCAACAGCTTTCATACATAAAATAAGTGTCCTCTACAGTATATCCCACCATAAAATTAAAAAAAACCAAGTGTAGGCAAGGCAAGCACTAAATGGAATCTCTTCTACCCTTGCTTTGAAAATAGTCGATCAACATTGCGATACATATGGCAAGCTTTCATCAGGACAAATCCAGTACCAATGAGGATCCCAGCAGAGGGATACTGAGAATATTAGATATAAGAGATATAAGAGAATATAGAGAGAGGTCTGTTTGGAGTAATGGGCCCAGTTCTGCCTGCCCTCCCTTGTGGTCAGAAGCTGGGATAAAGAATGTGTGGTTCTTCAGTGATTGTTGAACTGGATCCCCTTTTTTCATCGTTGATAATGTGTGTTAGAATACAGTATTTACTTCATGTTCTT